ACAGACCAGAAGACCAGAGCAAATAAAAACTAAAGAACAAAACACCTATCCAACAAGGATAAACTGAGAAATCAGCACCTAGATCAAGAAAATCAGAGCAAACCCAGATACCTGGACACCAGCATAAGAACACAATCAACAACAACCAGAGCAATGTGTCCCCACCAGATTCAGCTATCCTACTATAGTAAGCCCTGAGTACTCCAACACAGTCGAAGCAAAAGAGACAAGACCAACTTTATAAAGATGATAGAAGTCCTTAAAGGGAAGTGAATAAACCCCTTAAAGAAAGCCAACCAACAAACAGTTGAATGTAATGAATTTATTCAAGACCTGAAAATGGGAATAGAAGCAATTTTTAAAAATGCTAACTGAAGGAATTCTGGATATGAAAATCTAAGTAACTGAACAGGCCCTGCAGAGGCAAGCTTCGCCAATAGAATACAATTCATGGAACAGAGAATTTCATGTTTTGAAGATATTACAGAAGAAATTGATAAATTGATCAAAGAAAAAGTTAAATCTAATATTTCCCTGAACTATAACATCCAGAAAATCTGGAACACTATGAAAAGATGAAAACTAAGAACAATAGGAATAGAAGGAGAAGAATCTCAGCTCAGAAAATATTTTCAAACAAATTCACAGTTGAAAGTTTTCCTAACTTAAAGGACATAGGAAAATACAGCCCACAGAATCACCTAAGCAGGTTTCATAGGGGCTCACAGAAACTGATCCAGCAAAATTGGAACCTGCTTCACCGCAGGGCTGCCATGTGAAAGCACCGAGTGCTGTTTTTCTCTAAGAAACGGACTTCATTTCTTTCTGCACCACATGTTTCTTTTCCACGGTAGACCTGAATGAGTCATCAGTAATAAACGCCCAACAGAATCAATACTTTGTTCAAGAAATCAGCCAATTACGTTTTAATTCTGCCTTACTCAATTTTTCAGGAAGTGGAGAAAATAGGAATTATCTGGGGACAAAATACTATATAAATGCCCTCTAGCTACATTTTTCATGGAGTCTATTTCCCACTGAAATCCTATGACCCTAAGCTCCACTGTCTGCATTACTTTCAACACTTCCATATTCCTGGTCCTACAAGAATAGCTGATTAAGCTCTGTGTGCAGCTTTCTATGGCTTTTGCCATCTAAAGTCCTAATATCTTCCACATTCTTCCAAAAGACAACATTCCCACATTCTACACAGCAACACAATCACTTTTGGTGTACCATATGTTGTTCTAACTCTCTTGTTTCTCGCTGTGATTAAATTCTCTAACCAAAAGCATCTCAGGTAATGAACAGGTTTGATTGGCTGATATTTGCAGATCACAACCCACAATTGTGGGAGCTTAGAATAGAAACTCAAGCTAGGAACTGAAGACAAAGCCACAGGGAAACATTGTTTCCTGGCTTGCTTTCTTCCCTGGTCTTATCCGTCTCAGGCTTTGGGTATTACAACCTCAATGGAAGAGCCTTCCACACCAATCATCAAACAATTCAATTTTATTGTATTGTATACAATCACAAACAGTAGCTAGCGATTCTGATCTGGGCATAGCCTCTATTGATATTCCCTCAGATGAGTGTAGGCTACATCATGTTGACAGCTGAAGCTAACTAAGACAAAGAGACAATAATAATATATGAGAAGATTTTAAAAATACAAAACCATTATATTAACCACATCAATCACTTAAGCATCAAAAACACAAACATGAACATGGTAACAACTGGAAAACATAAATATGTCAAGAAATGAGGAGAAGCAAGCCTCTAAGATCAAGAAGAGAAAACCAAAACTGTCTCTCCAAAGAAAGTTTCCAAAACCAACAAAAACTCAAGGAACTGATAACATAAGAAATTTTCTCAATACAAAATTGGTGAAGGTCCATCATTTCCCAGAAAATGAATAATGAATATAATTAGTTAACAGTTAATAAAATCAACAACATGGATGGGGTACCACTGACAAAAGAAGACACAGAGACAGACCAACAAATATACACTATGGTCCCTTAAACAACAACAAGATTCTAATCAAAACCAAAATCCAAAAAAATCACTGGCCATCACTCATGCTGTACACACTCTGGTTCTCTTCTTTACCAATAACAGAAAAGGAGTTGGGTAAGGAGGGTGTTCCACAAAAATTGGAGAGATTCACTTGAAGCCTTCTGATGTTTTCACTTTATAGAAAGTGGTTTGACTAATAAAAGGATATCATTCTCTTATACTAAAAAGAAGGAAGTCTGTTAGGATCACTTAGACACCATTTTGTTTCCGATGATTGATGATTGCCTGTAAGTCTGCATCAGAGTGAGGAAATGAAAACTTTTTAAAACAAGATGTAAGATAACAGATTTTTATAGAATCAGTGTATGATCTGTATTATATAGCTAAGACAACGTGTTTTGCTCTTTTTAAGTCCCAGCACTTTTGAAAACAGGTTTATTGTTTTTGTTTGTTTTTTTTTTTTTTTGCATGTTTGTGCATGATACAGAATGTCTTCCATATGTATACAGGTGACACACACAAAAAGAGGCTGTTAGATCCCTTGGATATGAAATAGTAGTTATGAGCCTCCCAACTTGAGTGTTGGTATCTGAACTCAGGTCATCCTGCAAAAGAATATGTGCTGAGCCACCAGCCAAGACCCATACTACCTTTTATCCAATAAAGGAAAGATCTGTCACAAATTAACAACAACAAGAACAACAAAACCTAACTAAATAGAGAAGTAAAGAAATGATCCTTGGGAACATGATGCATCAAAATTAAGATGTTGTGTATGGTAAATCTGTAGAATAAATAGAATCCAATGAAAATGCCCAACAATTTAAAACAGGAAAGCTGATTCCAAAACTACATGCAAAATGGAAACACTCAGAAGGTTCAATGGGATTATTTTTTAAAAAATAGTAAACAGATTGACATAATATGACTTCTATACTTACTACAAAGATACAACAATCAAGAATGGGTACAATGTTTGTGAAAGAATAAAGGGAATGGAGAGAAAAAGCCAACAATAAAGGCAGGAAAATATAGTCAACTTTTTATTAAAAAAAAAAAAAAAGGAAATTTAGCCAGGAAAAGTGTGATCTTGACCAATGTTACCCAGCTACCTATGACTCAATGTGTATAGAAATTAAATAAACACGGACTTCACAACTTTCACAAAATTAACTCAAAGTGACCCTTAAACTGTTGTTTCTGACCCTCCAGCTACTGATGGTTCATCCAAAGACAGAAGCCCCATGCTCTAGAGCTCTCTCTGCAAATGGAGGTGATCTCCTGCTATGGCTCTGCAGCCCCTTATGCCCCCTTGTGGTTTCAGGTAAACCCAGCCCCACTGATGCCAAATCCCAAAACAACATAGAAGAATAATTTATAATCTGCTTCCTGTCACATCCACTATGGCACAAGATGTGGATTCTGCCCTATCTACCTGCCCAACACCACGCACACGTCAGAAATCTCTGCCTATCAGAAACTCTTTTAGTCCCTTGGAATTAAACTTTACTGAATCACAACATTGTGGCTGATGGTAGCAGAAAGTGAGAAGCATTCTAATCATGTATTGCTGAAAGATGATCCACATCACCATCCTTCTACCACTTTCTAAACTATTTGTAACAAATTATAAGAAACCTGAAAGAGGAATGCCATATTCAGAACTTCTAAAAGTCAGACCATCAGTTTCCAATCTGTCTTCCCACTGAACACCAAAAGCAGTGCTCTTGTGTGCATACTGGGCAGTGATATTACCAGCATTATGTCCTTCCATGCCAGGGCTGCAGTCTCCCCCCTCCCCAGGAAGTTCAGACACGGGAAGGTTCAGAGGACAAAGGCCACCACCCAGGTCACCACATGGACCAACAGAGCCACAGTCTTGCTCATGGTCCATCCAAATTCCAGAAGAAATGACAGCACAGCAGACCTGCTCCAATACCCTATGTTCACCATGACATGGCTTATGGTCTTCCTTACAATTCCCTACAGAGGAAGCAGAGGAGAATCCCAAAAAGTACCTGAAAGCTACCTGCTGCTGGTACTTCTGATTGACAAGCCTCTCCAGAGTCCCTCATTGGCTAGGGCCACCCAGTTGGGCCTCAGAATATTAACAGCTTCCCTACTGGGTGATCTTAGATCAAATGACAGCACAGTTTCTGCCCTTCCAGCCCAGCAGCCAGGGCCAGGGCCCTAGTCTAGAAAGTTTGTATTTTAGTAGACATTCTTCCACTTTCCAGAGCACCTCCAAAAACATGTTGAAGTTGACCACAATGATCTTTCTACACACAGCTCCCTGCTCCCAATGATTTGTGAAGATGCAGCCCACAGAGCAAAGTTATTCAGAGACCTCCCCCTGGGTCCAGGGAGTTGCAAGGACCACATGGGACCTCACAGGACAGAGACTCTGGCTGCAGTTTTCCACCCAGACCTGGGGAGGTGCCGCCATACTGGCTCCCGCTGAGAGAACCCCATCCCAGTGCCCCTAAAGCCCCGAGAGCTGAGAGAAGGGGTATCTTAAAATAACCAGAACTGAGTCAGTTCCCCATTCCCAGACAGGGTGAAGTCAGAAGTTTGCAAAGGACAACGTCAGGATGTCTCGTGATGACTAACCACGAGACGCCCCCTCCCTGGTGACAACATGACCCGACTTCGGAGATGGGCCATAACACTCCTGACAGAGCAAACAGACAAACTAAAATAAGATAAAGTCCAGGCTCGGGAAAACTGGACCAGTCAAGGATGGACCCGTACTAACCCCCTCCTCTCTGAAGAATTTTGTGGTTTTTGCCTTTAACAGCTAACCTCCCCGCAAAAGAAGAACTCTACTCCGAGGAGAGTCCCCTGCTAGCTGGTATTGCGCCAAAAAGCAACCCTTGCTGTTGCATTCTGGACATCCTCAGTCACCAGTCCCTTTGGGGGTTCTAAACTGGGCAGAACACTGCAACCTTCCCATCCAGAGACAGCAGACCCTCGCTCACCTGGTCACGGTTTCCCATGCTCTCCAGTCAGCTCCCTGCAGCAGCGGCACTCACAGGACAGCACGCAACACCTCTCCCGCCAGCTCCTCTTCAAAGCAAAGCCTGAAGCCGGGAACCCGGAAGCGCCCTGCACAACTTATGACTGGCAGGTCGCCTGGAGGGTCTGATTGGCTAGTGAGTTCAGAGTGACAAGAGCACCTCCCATAGGGTTACCCTGTGCTTAAAGACACAGTACCATGGTTCCTGACCCTCTCTTCCAACTCAGACAAATACCTTTTCTAAATCAGCAGACATAGGCACTTCAATAGCACTTGCCCCTGGCTCTAATAACAGACCCTGCTATCTTCCTGCTCTCCACAGGCACTTCCCCTTCTTCCTCCTGGACACAATGTGGCTAGCTAGATTGTACAGCCCTCTACACTATATACATGGAATGATTCCCTATCACACAGGTGGAAGGGTGCCTGGAATATTAATAACTAACTGAAGAGTGATTTAAGGCTGGGCAGCGGTGGCGCACGCCTGTAATCCCACCACTCCGGAGGCAGAGACAGGTGGATCTCTGCAAGTTCGAGGCCAGCCTGGACTACAGAGCTAGTCCAGGACAGGCTCCAAAGCAACAGAGAAACCTTGTCTCAAAAAACCAAAAAAAAAAAAAAAAGAAGTGATTTAAGGACACAAAAAGAGGTATTTGTTGTGTGTCTTTACATTGGGGTTAGGTGAACTGAAGGTACTTTTTTTTCCCGGGAGCTGAGGATCGAACCCAGGGCCTTGTGCTTACTAAGCAAGCTCTCTACCACTGAGTTAAATCCCCAACCCCCTGAAGGTACTTTTTACCTGGTTGTCACAGGGACTTCCAAGATCCAGAAAAGAAAAGCAGGAACTAGATCACAAACAAGGTAATAGACCTTTCTTCCATCAGAAGGCTGGATGATGGCTCCATTAATTTAGGAGTTTTATTCCTGAAATTCAGAGCAAACTGTTGGCAAATGAGTAACAATAAAAAGAGTAGTCTTCATGGAAAGTTGAATACTTAGAGAATAATGGAGCCAGGAAGAATGTCTTTATGAGCACTATTGTTAGCCAGCACATCTTCCTCAGTGGGCAGGTTAAAAAGAAAAAAACAGCTGCATTATTCAAGGTTCTCTACATGAACATGACCAGTAGAATGAATCTCTACATGTATGTATAAAGTCAAATTATTAGACTGTCTCACAAGCTGTGGCCCAGCTACTCCAACAGTGGCTGTCTACCAATGGAAATTTGAAGTTGTTCAGTCCCTTTGACTGGATGTCTTAGCTGGTCTTCAGTATACAACAAAATTACCAAAAAGTAGGTTCTAATGCTAGTAAAGGAGTGAACTTGGTAGCCAGAGCTAGGGCAAGTAGACAAAGACAGAGGGCTTCCTTCTTCAATATCCTTTATATACATCAGCTGCTGCCAAAAGGTGTGTGGTCCAGATTAGAGCTGGATCTTATTGTTTGTTTGATTGGTTTTTTGGTGTTTTTGAGACACGGTTTATCTGTGTAGCCCTGGAACTCATTCTGTAGACCAGGCTGGCCTCAAACACAGAAAATCCAACTGCCCCTCAGTACTGTGGCTAATGGTGTGCACTGCCACCAAGCAGCTAAACGAGGATCATATCACCTCATATGATGCAGATTAGTCTTTAATTTCATAACCTTTAAGAAACATTCTTCACAGATGTACACAACTTTTTGGGTTTTAGTTAATTCCAAAGGTAGTCAGTTTGACTACCAAGAATAGCCATCACAACAGCCAAGACAGAAAAATTAGAAAGATTTCTTACTTGAAGGAGGTAAGAGAGAGCATGTGAGTTATTTCCAAAATAATGCTTTTCTTAACAAAGGAAGCATGTGGGTTTTACTTAGAGAGTAGGAACGTGTTCATGTAGAATTCTGCCTATTTATAAGCATGCTCATGCAACAAATCCACTTCTGAACATGATCACACTGTAAAAGCAGAGACATTCAGGGACATTTTTACCTCAAAGCCATGTAAGAACATAAATTACAACAATGATGGACCTTCTTCACACACGTGTCTTTCCACAGGCCTGTTCACATCTGTCCCTTTCTCCTCATCTTAATAAAAGTCTTGTTAGTGGAAAAAAAATGATGGAAAGAAATGCCTCTGGCCTGTTCATCTTATACCACAAGGTCTTAGCTGAAAGTCAAGCAGATGACGCTGTGAGGGTAGACGACTGCTTTGGAGCCCATGGTGCCTGTCACTCTTGATGTTGGATCTAAAGGACAACTGTACCAATGCCACAATTCTCACAGGTACAAAAGACAGAACACAAATAGAGAAAACATCCAGGAAAGTTCACCTAACAGCACTGCATACTCTGCTCTTAGATGAACGGTTATGATGAGCTCTATTAACCTCAGAACAATGCAGCTTTTGCCTCTGAGCAGGCTGACTCAGGAGAAGGCCACAGCTGCTTCCATGAAAGACCAGAAGGAGTTCATTTTAACTAGCCCTGGCTGCTGTCTGCCTCAGGCCTGTGACATCACTGCAGAGAATTCCATTCTTCCCTTTTTCTAACTTCAATAAATAAAAATGAGTTATATGGTGTTTTGCCTGCATGTGTCTGTGCGCGGTGCCGACAGAGGCCAGAAGAAGGCAGGAGATGCTGGGACTGGAGTTACAGCAAATGGTTAGCTACCATGTGGTTTCTGGGAATGGAACCTGGGTCCTCTGTAACAACACCCAGTGCTCCCAATTGCTGAGCCTTCTATGTAGCCCCTGTTTTTTATTTAAATTTTATTTTATTAAATGGTTAATTAAAAGATATTACATCACTGTCCCCTTTTGTCTCTTCATTCTATCCCTTCCCAAATACCTTTCAACTTCTTCCTTGTTAAGTTTGGGTGAATCAGTATGCTGAATACATGAGTACAACCTATGTGTCCATTTGCGTTGTATACATTTTTGTTGTACATATATGGATAATGGGCTGACCACATTGTACTAGATCATCAATTAGGGAGGTCATCCCTGGCTGAGGCTAATTCTCTCCCCTGGAGGAGAAGCCCACTTTTTAATGAGCATCAGGTATCTGACCCTGACTAGGCTTCCTTGGACAGGAAGCATAAACAGAAAACACAGAGTAGAAAAAACCTTAGCAGTTAAGAGCACTGAAGATACTTTCAGAGCATCCTGCTACCATTACCAGTATATACAGAGGCTCACTACTATCTGTAACTCCAGTATTGAGTTCTGATACCATCTCCTAGCTTTCCTGGACACCATAAGAAGAGGGGACTTGTACCATAAAAATTATTTTTCACTGGGCGGTGGTGGTGCACGCCTTTAATCCCAGCACTCGGGAGGCAGAGGCAGGCGGATCTCTGTGAGTTCAAGGCCAACCTGGTCTACAGAGTGATATCCAGGACAGACACCAAAGCTACACAGAGAAGCCCTGTCTCAAAAAAAATTAATTTTTAAGCTGTGTTTGGTAGTGCATTCTTTTAGTACCAGCAACTATGAGTTTTAAAGCCTGTACTACATAATGTGCACATACACACACACACACACACACACACACACACACACACACACACACACACACGAAAGGAACAAAAGTGAATAATACACAAGAAAAGGAGAATTGGAGAATTGGGAAAATACAGTACTTCTTAAAGACATTTCAAGTGTTGTAGCAGGAATCTTAAAAGTTCTTATTAATAAAATAAACCCAGAGCCAAGTACTGGGGTGAACACTGGAAGATCAGAGAGACAGAAGAAGCCACAGCTAACCTCACCTGGCCAACTTCTCAGCTGATCCTGTTTCCTCAGACTGTAAGCCTCTGTGTCCTCATATCCAAATGGCTCTCATCTGAACTATGGTGCTAGAAGCCTGAATGCTTAACCAGCCAAATGCTGCTAGTTTCTGGTCTTCACGCCTTATATACCTTTCTGTCTTCTACCATCACTTCCTGGGATTAAAGGCGTGCGTCACCATGCTTGGCTGTATTCTTGAACAGATGGATTTCTGACTCTGGAATGCTAGGATTAAAGGCATGTACTACCACTGCCTATCCTAAGTATATAGTGGCTTTTCTGTTCTCTGACCCCAGATAAATTTATTAGGGTACACAATATTTTAGGGAACACAATACCACCACAAAGTGTCTGTCACTGATGCCCAAAGAATCATTTTCAAAAGTAAATATGGCCAAGCATGTGAACACATGTTGTTAATCCCAGCCACTGGGAGAAACTGAACATTTGACAATGGGCTACCAAATTAACGTGCCACCTGAACTGCCCATCATGAGCTGGGTGTTATCAGACCCTCCAAGTCATAAAGTAGGCCATACACAGCAGCACTGTTATCAAATGATGGTGGTATATAAGAGATCAGGCCAAAGTTGGTCTGGAAGGAACAAGCAAGCTCCCTGAAAGAGCTGCCCGAATGCATGTCTGTTGATGTCCCATTAGTCAGGTCCCTCCCTCCCATGCCCCTGGGAACCTGTCCTAGTGCAGAGCCTGGGCACCTGCAGGGTTTTCATGGGTCACCTGCTCAGTCTGCTGAGGACCAATGCTAAGGGGCAGAAGACCAGGGAGCTAGATCTCACATCTGGAGGCCCTGCTGACTGACGGGCCAATGTGAGCAGCAGAGGCTGGACGATAGGTCTGCTCTCCACGCCCAATCACCTTGTCATGTCAAGCAGACTGTGTGCAACAGTGATGCCGTGGCACATGTACACACTTGGCCATTTGGCACCCTGCACTGTGACCTAGACCTGGTGGGCAGTAGAGGATATAGGAGAAGGCTTCCCCTGGGCTAGACCAGAACCGTGTACATGTGGACTCTGCTGTGTTCTTGTTGATTTTCTCTGATTGTTCCTCCTACTATACGACCTTTCTGAGAATGCTCAATTGGTTGCTGGACCAGATCTTCCAGGACAACTTCTCTGAGGAGGAGAAAGTGTTGCCAGCTATGGAGTACGTACAACAGGTGTCCCAGTTCATCCCCATCACCCCAAAGATGAGGCTGCAGATCCCCCACTCCTGGACTCCCAGCTCCTTACCTCAGGGTCCTTCCATCAGCATTCTAGAACTGTCCATTTGATGACCTTCA